GTACGATACACGAAAAACGGAAAATGAACTAATGAACAAGAGAACAAATAAACAAGTGAACCCTTAAACAAATACATAAATAGACAAATCAACAAATGGATAAATGAACAAACTAAGAAATACAAATGAACAAATAAACAAATTAACAATTGAGAAACTAAAAAATGAACAAATGTGCAAATGTGCAAAATGAAAAAATTATCAATGATAATTTTGAAATGATAATGAAAGAATGGACCGATAGACAGATGATCAGAGGAAGAAAGATATGAACAAATAAACAACTGAAGAAATGGTCAATTTAAACGAGCCACAAAATTAACCAGTATTCAAATGAAAAAAGTTAACAAACCAACAAATGATCATATGAATAAACGAACAAATGAACAAATAAACGAATGAACAAATTAACAAATTAAGAAATGATAAAATTCAAAATATTTAAGAAATAAAGTATAAACTTGTAGACACAACATAGTTTCAAATCTTACCTTGGCTCGACAGCTCGCACGGGTCCAAACGGGGAAGAGAGGAATTATCAAATTTATAAGGATGCCTAACGCCGGGGGGTAGGGCGGCGTGTCTAACGATCAACAAAATGGGTGAAAAAAGAAACCTTTGAAATGTATACTTCTCATTATTGCGCCCAGAGAGTTCATTTATGGAAGTTGAAAAATTGCAATTTGGCCATAGAAACGGGACCCAGAAACCATTTGTTTAATTATCTTCCAAGTTTTTATTTATTTTGTACGTGGATTTAAGAAACTAGGCATTTTTGAATTTTTTAAACTTTTTAAAAATATTTGTAGGAAGTTGCAATTCCAACTCATTCAAATTTACCATGAGTCTAATTTTTAAAAAGAGAAATTCTGTATGATTATGAGAAAAAAATAATGTTTTCTTTTCACAATAAATTCTACTCTAACAATAATTCGATTATCTAATTATTATGGACTATTCTAATATATATTAAAAATACATGTATGTTTTAACAGGTATGTACTACCCGATGTGTGATATCACTAACAAAAATATCAACGCTATTCTACTTAATTACTTTGAACATATAATGGAGAACTAACAGCAATTTCTCTTACATCTTTAATATTTTCTGTCAAATGGGTATCATAGATTATGTCGGTTGCAGGGCAGGTCACTTATAAGATTCTAAAAGTCAAAATAATAAGTGTTAATCAAATGAATGAAGATCACAACTATATTATCACTAGGGCTCGAACCTTTAGGTGCTAAGAATTGTGAAATGTTTATTTCTATGTGCTTAAAAAATGAAAAAAAATGTTTTGTGAGTGAAAGTGAAAAAAAGTGAGCAACTCGTGTTATGAGAGCTTGTTATCGTTCGGAGTGTCTTTGCCAGAATCGAGGGTAATGTTAGAAATGGCCCTTAGACATTTTGACAGGCCGTGTACCATACACACTCCACTCAAACGGAAAAGTTCCACAGAAACATCTTGTGTGTGTCCAACCATTGCATTCCAAACTGCCACGTCTTTCATCATATATATAAAAAAATCTCATTCTGTAGATTACGGTGTGAGACACGTTTCTTTGGGGCCTTGATTTCAAAGGTTTATTTTTCAATGCCCTAGAACGCTTCGTTTATGAGCTATTTAGCGATATAGATTAAAAAACGCCCTGATTGGTGTTTTGCGGGTTGCATTGGACACGGATATTTTGTTTTGTTCTACAGAACCATCTAGAAAATTTTTCCGATATTGTAATAGTTATTCTGCTATTCGGGGTGGAGATGAATCGAATATCAGAGATAATTAAAATTGGTCCAGCCGTTCTTGAGTTATAAATTCTATAACTAACCCGACTTTGTTTTATATTTAAGGTATATCAGATCTTTCGGAAAGTGAAAATACAGTCAGCATGTAGACAAGATGGAGTACGCACCGTTTCAGTTTTATTTCATTTCCCGTTTTTAGTTTCATTTCGTCTCGATAATTAGCCGGAAGTGAATAGATCAACAAAAATGTTTTCAATTTAAATACACCGGTTTTCCGTGGTCATTAAAATAATACGAATTGCAACGTGTACATTTCTGCATAAATGTAATGTACAAATGTAGAGGCGAATTTTGATGACCTACAATGTCAAGAATGAGTTATAAAATAGTCTTATTTTTTTAAAAAGTCCTAAAAGTAATTACGTAAAAAAGATGATGAAAACCAGTGTAGATGAACATTTCAAGCAAGATACGTTACTCTTGTTAACGAGGCTTCTTGTAATCGTTCAAGTACATTCAGGTTGCGAAATTTTGGTTTGGAATGTTCTTTACCAGGAAATCCCAATGTTAAGTTATCCCGAAATCGGCGGAACCGAGCCTTAGATTATACACAACGAATGACATTACAATTTCTGAGTGAAGAAATTCTGTAAGTGACATTTGTTGCACCTTGTGAATATTATTTGAAGCAAGTATCATTAAAATGATATTAAAATAGATGAACTCTGCAAAAAAAAGAATTAAAAATGACTTGTTAAAAAGTCAAAAACGAATGTAATATCACTATAGTTTATCTATTCATTATCCTTTTTGTTTTTTCTTACCTCAATGGCTTCCCGACTCGCATCAAATTTCGAAGAATTTTTTGTCATCGTCTGCGTTCATGACGTATTTTTTCATAGCAACTTTATGCCATGACTTATAAATATGTTATTCATTCATAAATTATAATATTTCTTCCTTTCTTCTTGTAATTATCTCAAACTTCTTTGTAAGGATCTCTTCATCCAGCTGTTTAAATACAGAAACACCCAATGGGAATAAATTGCAAAGGTTATAGATTTTTTTTTCAGAACCACGCACTTAACGAGCCTCGGTAACACTTATCCTGTGGCAAGTGTATGTGACTCCTTTTCGGGGACATTAGCATTATGCCGAATCTAATTTTTATCCTCCAGGGTTGCTAGTCCTGGGGGATGGAAGGTGACTACGAAGGACGAATTGACGACATACACGTACATAAGCGACAAAAAGGAGGCGAATCGGCCATCATGGGGCCACGCTACGTGCTCGGATTCTGGGCATCGGGGCTCGGACTTAATGATTGGGATAGGTGCACGTTACTTTTTCTATGGAGGGGAATCAGCAATTTAATGCTGATTTTATTTCTATACCATGCAATAAACACACACAAACATACAGACACGCACAACACAACCATGTGGCGGGACTAGAATCCACAATCTTCAGGTCCGAGACACTGTTGCACTAATGCCTCAGCGATATCGGCCACCGGATTGGCTGAGCGAAATGCTTCCCCCATTAACGGGAAGTAACAGTCGAGAAATTTAGTAGTACAGCAGACACGTGATGCATTGCCAATAGCTAATAACCCATAGTCTGAAATCCCGCTGGCGTTATCTAAACAACCTGAAACAGCCACAACGTCGCGTAGACACTTTGTTGAGTCGCCATCTGGAGGAGAATTCTAACAGCTGCCTACTCTGTAGTACTCTGTAGTACTCTGTCCTACTCTGTCCTACTCCTTAGTCATTTTCTGTGATTTCTCCGTTCAATACTAGGCTAATAGTGTGTGTTGGATGAATATCGATTCTATTGAACAACAAATTTATTAAATGAATTGGCGAAAATCAGAGCGGTATAAGTGGCATTTTACAAATTCTGATAAATCTGTTTATAAATTCTGAGAAACCAGTGTACACTGTGACCAAAAATATCTTTTGCCTGGTCACACATTGAGAGTGTGGCACAGATTATGCGAAAATTGAAAAGACTACAAAAGAGACCAAAATACCAATAATCATACCAAGAGACAGATATGTCCGATTTTTGTTTTTTACAGCTCATGTATAAGATTTTTCGATAGAATTTGTAATGCACGGAAAAGTTTGATGATAAATTTTGAATACATTCAACAAAAATATTTTCTTTCTGATCTATTTATGATTTATTCTGAAATAGCGTACTTTAAAATCGCTCTCTTGTAAAATTAGGAATATGTACATGAAAGATTTTGCCAAAACACCACTGAATTAATTGCCAATTTTTAATAATTAGTTGTTATTAACCTTATCTAAATTATTCTAACGTTTATTATTACAGTATTCAGTGTTGTTACATTTTTATTATTACATATACTAAGTTAACAATACTTAATTTTAACTAAATACATTAATTGTAGAAAAATGTCTGTGTTATTAAAAACATCAAAAACATCTTATGGCAATTTCCACATTTAGTCTCATCTGATATTCATTTAATTTGATGTAATAATACTGGAATAATTTATTTCCAAAATTATCTGAACATATGTATTTAGGTTGTTTTTTAATAAACAAGTCTATTGATGCATATCAGCACTTGTCTACATTATTTATTGTATACTATTAAATTGAACTTTTACATTTTTTATCAATATTTTTTTCTACATTTATTATTGAAGTGAATGTGTGACTACATTCTACAGGTTTTGATATTATTTACACTAAAAAATGTTTTAATACCTCTTCAAATTCTGGTATTTGATAGTACACTACTGCCATTTTACGCCTAGCAATTTCAATATCATGCTTGAGTGAATATTCAGATATTCCCAAATCATTTTGATGAGTCTTGTAACATTCTTTATTCTGAAATAAAATGAAATTAAAGGGCAACTGGAAACATTTTAATATGTTTTATTATTTATAACAATTTCTCCAAAAATTTGTAGTTGTGATAAATAGGAATAATAAATTCAATAAAATAATATTCGTACTCTTTCAACTCCATCAGGAGTTTTGCATTTTGTGGCTGCCTGTTCCAATATATACTGCTACATATTTGGCTCACTTGCATACCTGTAATGATTCATTCATTCATTCACAGTTTTGTAGAAAAACCGAGGAATAGCACACAAAAATACCCGAAGAAATGTTTGTGGGTGATTTTGTTATATTAGGAAAAGTTGCCGATTTTGAGATATAAATAATAAACACTGAGTAATGAACATGTTTTATTAGATAATTTTGCTTTTCCAACTTCTTTATTACAAAATGAAATAGCGAGTTAGATGCATTCCTCCACACTTCGTGTTGAGTGTTGAGCAGCTGTGCTGAGATTTAGGCGATGGCGAGGCCGGTGTTCTGGGAGATCCAGTCGGCGAAGGAGCTGACGCGAGCGAAGCCGTTGGGGGAGCCGCTCTCGCAGCCGAGGTGCGAACCGAAACTCACGATGCCGATCTGCCTGCCGGACGAGGAGTCCACCAGCGGGCCGCCGCTGTCACCCTGCGGAACACCCGAACGAAACCATCACTGCAGTTTTTTCTAGGTAGTCTTTTATCGTCGCGCTAGTAACGAGTAGTTCGATGAAGCGCAAATAACAGTCGTGGTTGATGTTTGTAAAATGAGCGGATAACCGGGATTAATAACCAAACGATTGTGTTGTGTTATCGGCCACGTAAGCTCAATTCATTTCTTAATACCAATTAAATAAACAAGAAATATCGTTTCTTGGAATATGTGTACTGATTTGCCATCTTTAGCTTCAACTCACTTGTTTTGATTATTCTTAACGGATGGCGGGTTGTTAAATGTTTAACGGACTAAGAGTGGCTTTTCGTTAATCTATTTGATTGTAAAGTCGTTAATGATATTAGGTGGCTAGGCTGAAAGTCTTTATGCCGTTATAAAGTCTTCTCATTACAATTCCAGCCTATTCACTGCTGGCATTTATCTCAGAGGATTTTAAAATCACATTAAAGAAAGAAGGGAAAATACCGTACGATGCTCCGAGGAAATATAATCGGAACAGAGAAGCTGTACCGCCAGGAGACTAATACCTACACTGTTGCTGATACGAGCCGTTTAAAACGTTAATTAGCTTTCAGTTCTAATTTATTATATTTAACTCATTTCATTCGTTTGGTACAATTAAAATTTCAATCCAAGATTTTACGATACTGAGAGATTGCAATTCACTATCCAAACGTGTTACTAAAATATTTTTATTTCACGTGTGTTAGCACTTACGTTGCAAGCACTGCGGCCGCTGCTGCCCAGACCGCAGATGGTGGAGGCGCGGACCATATAGGAGCCAAAGGACTGAGCGCACACGTTGTTTGAGATGATGGAGAGGTCAACGTACTTCAGTTGAGGGCTAATCCAGGTGCTGGCTGTAACCGAACGTTCTCTCAAAATCTGATAGTATTGTTTACAAATTCGATGAAAGGATTTTGTAGAGAAGCTTTCCAAAATTTCTGTTTCTGATTACGAAAAACCCATTACTGATATTAGGTGGTAGGCTAAAAGTCTTTATACCGTAATAAAGCCTTTCCACTACAATTTCAGCCAACACACTCCTGTCATTTATCCCAGAGAATTTTTATATGGTCCTCAGGTTTTAGATTTTTCATGAATATGAAAATTAGATCACATACACTAATCATTGCCGAAGAAATGATAAACAGTAATGAAAGTCAAGACAATTAGCAAAACTTGTTTTCTCTAATTGTAAAGTTGTATTTTATTAAAAACCATTCAAGATATTACGAACAGATTGAAATAAAATTTCTACCTTGCAGCGTGACTCAATGATGTATGAAAAAAGGGTTCACCATACTATTTAACCAGCTTCACACATATTCGTAGGAGTCCCATAGAGGAGCTGCCATATCTCACGCTTCCAGTGAAATCCAACTTCACTGGAAGCATGAGATATGTCAGTTCCTCTACTCACTTCAACCACCGAACAGTGTGAAGATTTTCCTGAATTGCTTTCCGATGTATCTTTGAGCACACTTACGGGAGAGAAGGTGAAAAGAGATATTTACCGTCTGACACCTTTCCCCATCCACTGACGCGGGCAGAAGCTCCTTCGAAAGTGTTGGATCCGGAGGCAAGGAGGACGGGCTGGATGGAGGCTGCAATGAAAGAGAAACAACTAAATAACATTTACACTGAAATCCAAAATCATTTGTAGCACGACATAACCAGGGCTATGGCTTTTATGTAATTACAAATCCGTTTGTTCAATAGTTATAATCAAACTTTTGTTCTTTGTTTACGAATTAGACTTTTTAAATTGATTTGACATCTATAATATGATTATCAATTTCTGTTGAAATTTTCAGATGCATTTCATATTTAAGGGAAAACTTATATTTATTTGTATATTTCAACATTTTACTTGGAAAATATTCATATTGTAACTTTCATCGCACAAACGTTGCAAATAGGGCTTTAGAAGGTGATCAGAATTTAAGTCCTCAAGGTTCAAGTTGGACACTGAACAACCATGAACCGCTAATTTGAGATAGTGAAGTAGGTAATGACAATTCCTTCACTTCAATGTTGTCTGCTAAAGTTGGACAAGGGTTCTCAGCTGGACGAAGCTTGGGGTCCGGTGAACACTTTAACTTGAAGAGTCGTGCGGGACGTACCGCTCAAAGGAACGTCTTGCTGCAGGTTGAGCAGGGCGATGTCGTTCGACAGGAAGAGAGAGCTGTAGCTGGGGTGGACGATCTTGCTCCTCGTCTCTACAACGAGGACGCTGTCGTCACGAGCGTCCATGTTGACAGCCCCGAGGTACACTTCGAATGTGCTCACACTGTAAGAGGAACGAATTATTCAAAAACCTTTTCGTGATTTTTTAAAATCTTTCTGGCATACATACTCTATATACGTATAGAGAAAATAGTGTAAAGCAACCAATAGTGGAAAAGATGGGCGTTATGAATGTTGCGTATGTGAACATCACTAGCACTTCAACTATTCGTAGGATTTTTTCCCAAAACGAATATTTCTTGGTCGATCTGATTTTCTCACAGCCCTCTGAGTTTAAATACAATTCTTTGAATTTTGATGGCACTTTTGATACTACTTTTGATGGCTTTTTTCATTAAATTTCTGGTAGCCTAATATAATACGGTGTAATACAATTATAAAAATAACAAAGATCAAATTTTACTCCTACAAAAAAGTTGAAATTTTTAGGACCCGATCCTATATGCTCCTACCCACTTCTATTCTTGAAGATAAATATTCCACAAAAATAACATTTCTTCTCCACAATTCATTCTTTAATTAAGGGCGTGTACTTTTTAAAAATATGAGTAGTTTTAGCCTAATTTTGAGCCAAATATGGGCAATTTTAAAAACAAGATTTGTTTCAAAATTGGCTTCAATTTTTTACATAAACTTTTGGAATAGATGCTGACAAATGTACTGATAGTTTTTACTTCAAGACATCTATTGTTCAAAGAAAACAAATTGAAGTAAAAAACAGTTTTGAAAATATTAGTAGGCATTTTTAAAACAATGATTTTGTCAAAATTTTTCCAGATTATTTCTTATAATTTTTTCATCTCAAATAACGGTAGAAAAGGGGTTGTGGTCCCATTTTGGGCAAACTCTCTGCATTGTTGAAAATTGTAACAAATTAACACTGAAAAATACAATTTTGATAATAGAGATTTTTTCTTGAAAAATATAAATAATAAATTTCTTGAAATATCTTGAAATACAATAATGTTTTATTTTTTAACGAGTTGTTTTTGCTTACTTTCTGTTTGAAGTTATTGCAATTTATTTGTCAAATAATTTCTGAAAAAGGGCTACAAAATTTTTACTTTAAATTTTTTACCACGAATAGTGCGAAGTACACTTAAAAATGAAGCAGCTCTAATTTTCGTTGAACCCTCTCGATTTTCGTAAAATGCTAAGTTAAAAATAGTTTGAGAAAGTATGTGATGTTCTAGCACACTTATTTTTTAAGTATAAGGTCCTATTTTTAATCCATCACCAAACCAACGTCTCTGGCGGCCACCGACACATAATTGAGGGCAACTTTATACTTTTGTATCATTGACGTATCACAGACCAGCTGAGCGCTCTAACTACTTGACCATCCGAGTGACGCTGAATCCTAGACACTAAGTTTCAGCCACCATTCTGCAACCTTCGTCAGTGCCAAATGCATTTCGTTTAGAGAAAGTTTGCAGAATGGCGGCCGAAACGTTGGCATCTGTGCTTAGAACATTGCCCTGAGGAAGGTCGCATATATTGGCCGAAACGGTGCCACCTGTGCCTAGGACGCAGAACAGCCAAGCAGCTACTGACTCCGGCCGCGGAAGCCTACAATCGCAATGAATTAATTATGAGTCGTCATTGCCAACAATATTGTTTATAAACAATAACAGCTTTCGATGGCGTAGCCATCATCATCATCAGTTTTCTAGTATAAGAAAAAAAACATTAAAACTTGAATGTTTTTTTTTGATTTGACAAAAAATTATAATGAAAATATTACTAATAATTTACAATTTTTAGAAAATATATTTAACATTTTAAGAACTGAAAGAAAGAAAGAAAGAAAGAAAGAAAGAAAGAAAGGGGGGTGTTAAGTCACTTAATACTACAGGGAAAAGTGGATGAAATTCAGTTTCAACGTGTAGAATTTTTGAAACAGACGACTCATAAATATTTCATTGTAAGTGCCAACGAAAACTCACCATAATACCAATACCAATTCTACAATCTCAAGTTAACTCTGAGATGGCCTGGGCAAGCGCGCGCCGAAGGCCACTCACCCGGAGGCGCAGTGGGCGGCGGTGAGCACCCAGCGAGAGGAGATGAGGGAGCCCCCGCAGAAGGCGTTGTCGTCCAGGTACATGCCCACCTGGTACGGGAACTGGCCGGCGGCCGCGTTCACGCCGTTCACGATGCGCGGCTTCGGGTAGACCGGGGCGCCCTCTGCCGCAACACACAACCCGACACATGGTCACATCATCTAACATCGCCGCAAGACCTCCTATTTACAATTGTTTGTTAACCTTTCATAATTAGGTTTACGTCCATACGGAGTTACCTGTGACAACATTTACACAGATCGAAATAAATGTTTGGAAGGAGATATATTGAACTTGAAAGACGAAATACATTTTTTATATTACGTGAGACAGAATTGCATTTGTGGTTCAATTCATAACGTTAATTATATTACCACAATAGCCATTGCACGTTTTCCAAATGAATTCGATATTTAGATTTTAATATATATCTGCAACAGTCACTGAATGAAACGATTTTGCGCTTTATGTGTTCGTTATTTGTGCAACTTAAGTTTCGGGATTTATTTTGAGAATTTACACGAAACACAGTATCCTAATTAATAAAAATTAGATGGATTTAGTCGTACAATGCTGGCCGTCATGATCCACCCCAAAATATAAATATATTTTCATCTCTTCACGTTTTCATGCTATTGGTGGGGTATTCATGGGGATTGTAGTCGTTGAGTTGAAGAAATGGGTACTTCTTTTTTCAGGCCTTGTCAGTCGGAAAAACGGGATGTTTCTCATTTGAGAAGCTAGCCTATCATGGAAATGATGGCCATTAGAAGTAATTATTCAATTAACGTATTTACTAGCACAGTCAATACATTAATCAAGGTAAAATAGTTGGTAAAATAGTTTTAGAAGCAATGAAGGTGGTTTTTGAGAATGAAGAACCTATATTCAGAAGAAAAAAAATAAAAATGGATCTGAAAGAAGTGTATGAAGTTTTTGTTAAACACTTAGGAAATAAAAGAAGCCAAATCAATGAATAATGTAATCAGAAACAAGTACTTAGGAAATACATTTGAGGAGAAAGTTCTGGGTACAAGAATAAAGGATCACGATTGTCTAACACAAACACACAAAAGGTCATTCATGCGTACTAACACCATCTCGTTTGAATGTAGGACTTCACGCACCAACACGTATACGCACTTGCGTGTACACGCCCTTCCGTATACACACAGTCCTATCAAATAGGCAAGCCAATGCAGGAACATAGACAAACCAATATGCAAATATGCTTAACACAAAGCGTTTTGTGTACCTCTCTCTCTCTCTCTCTCTCTCTCTCTCTCTCTCTCTCTCTCTCTCTCTCGCTCTCGCTCTCTCTCCTCTGTGTCTCTCTCGGTGACTCTGTAGCAATGGTATCGACGAATGCCGGAAAACAAGAACGTCGCAATAAAAAGTGTTTATAAATAATTTAATGGAATGATGTAAGCAGAAAATATATTTCATTTTTGAAAGGATATGTTTGGTTTGCATATAGTTAGTTCCTTAATTCATTCACAAATAGCTACTTACATCCTGAGTGACATTACGTCATAAAAAGTAATTGCACACAACCATAACTGTATGCTATTAAGAACTGATACAAATATTTTAAATATTACGAATACTTTAACATAAAGATAGTTTCAAATTTGTCTTACTGATCTGAATCTGAAACAAAGTTGAGTTTGTATATAAAATGCCTCCATCTGTACTCACCCACTTCCTCCACCGTCACGTAACGGCCTTGAACTTGACTGTGCTTGCTCACATGAGGGCTGGAGTGGTGTGGGTTGCGCGCCTGCAAGTGAAGTTGACATCAGAATCACCCTTTACGTTTACTTCTTTATAGATCAAATGTCTAAACGATTCCTTCTTACGATACTACAATCATAGCTACTGAAGATATGAAAAAAGTTAAACACAAGAAAACATCGTAAAGTGTCTGAAGTATTATGATACTTTAAGTTTTGACGACATTTTCAAAGAATATGTTCTTAAAAAACAAACAAACGTTTGTACAAATACAATCACCTAGATCAAGATCGACTCAATGAAGATGGGTTGAATCTCGTAACAGAAATTAATGTTTGGGGTAAAATTTGCAAACAAGATTTATGGAGAGGACAAACTTTATTTAACACATTTAATTGAAAAATCAGTTTACAAAAAAGGAGATAAAATGTTTATAATGACAACACTATCGAAGAAAGAAATCTCAATGGACAAAAAGTAGAGAATTAATGAAGATGGACAGAAAAATTACACAGTGACCGGTGGGCTATATTATAGCAGCCTTGCTATGCTATCCCTTGCCATCTTAGTAAATATTAAAAAAGTTATAAATGTAATATGATTCAATAAAGTAATATAACATCATAATGATTAATAGAAATATTTATCATATTTCAATTCCAAACAACAAGAATTACTACAAGAAATAGAGGACGAGTACATTATGTTATATAGTTTTTACCTTCATAGACATTAATTACAAAATTTACTCTAAACAATTGGTCGTGGTAACACCTTTCCAGATTATATACTATTTGCGTGAACAAAACTAGTGGTGCTAAACGCAAAGTTACGCGAATATTATTTAAATATTCGAAAAACTTTAGATGACCTTATTTCAAATTCTATCTTTAAAGAACAGATTTTATTAAGAGAAAAATCTCTATCTTTAATTTTTGTTGTAGGAAGACGGAGAAAAAATGTTGAAGTATTGCAATTTTCGAAACATCAGGGTTATGAACGAATATGAGGTCTACACAAATCTCTTAAACGTTCTTTACAATATCCACGTAGCGACATTACATAGCGACGGACGGACGGACGCACGGACGGATGCACAGACCGACAGACAGACGTTTCGCCGTAATTTGATTTTTCCGTATCAAGGACCTACAAAACAGATTCTGTCTACACCACGTATTAGAGAATTTTGTTTCTAAATTTAGCATCTGGATGTATCCACTTTTCACAGTTTTTTCAGGCAGCATTACATAACTTTCTCTCTACTCTGTTGCGAGAAAGTAATAATGGGACTGTTTAAGAACTGTTTGTTCAGTTCAGCTCGATCGAAGACGGCGGTCTCGCTCGTCCTTGGGCTTTCTCTCGGCTTCCACTGATTCCCCGCGAGGAATTGAAAGGATTCTTTTCATCTTCTCAACGTCACACTTTTCAGTCAATGCTGATTATCAAGATTTCCCTCGCTATACTGTAGTTAAAAGGATCAAAAATTGATACGTTTGGGTTGGAAGGACAGTGAGCAGTATTTCCGCTTCGCGAATCGGTAGCGTTTGGGAATTTATATTGGTACAATTGTTCTTGTGATACTTTTGTCAAATATCGGCCGGCTGATTGAGAAGGTGACACATTCACAAGAAAGTTTTGTGTTACGTCAGTGAGAGATATAGAAGCAATTTCCATGAAAAGGCATTAATGCATTGATTATTATAAGTTAAAACATGTTTTGCCGCTCTCGTGCTTATACGCAGGGGGACAACATTAATGTCCTTTAGGAAGCAAGTTGCGTCGATGTCTTGCTGCTAGGCGCCACGCAGAGATCGTGGAAAGATCAGTTGCCAGAGAATCGAGGACTTTCGCTCGAGAGCAATACGCACTGCGAGAGGCAGCTTTCAATTTGCATTCGGTTGAGTCTTACCTGCGCAGCCACTACGAGGAGAGCAATCAGAGCAAGAGTCTTCATGTTGGCAAGATGGCGAGTGCTTGCGAACTAGGCCGATTCATTGATTCACGACTCTTTTATACTAGTTGTGGTGTACTTTGTGATTTCAAAGATTATTGGAATACTACCACACCTCCTCAACAATATCACTGATTTTTGCAGTTTTTGAATGTCATTGTCCATTGGTTAAAAGCTAGAGGTGATAAGAATCATTTGCGTTTTCTCCGAAGGTCACTCTTATATCGTTGGTGATAAACTTATATCGTTTCTTCCTGTCATTCCCCGTTTCATGACACCAAAAAAAGCTGTGACTATTAAACAAAATATTACATTTTGATTTATTCCTAGTTTCATAATTTTTTGAAAGGTTCTGATTATTTTCTATTCAGGAAATTAATTTAGGAATCCGAACAGTCGCATGAAAACGTATGTAGGCACACGCAATCAGTACAAACATTCATAGCTATTAAATGCATGCATCATCACGGTTTTATTCATGCAAGGTGCAGAGTACAAACCTCTTTAGATTGCTGTGTTTGTGAATTTGTCATTCAAGTGGAAGTAGATGCATCTTTGGTTCTTAGATCTAAGGTCGAGTATCGTGGGGCCGTTCTAGTGCTCAAAGCTTCAGCATTTGCGAGGCTACGGCAAGATTATTATTTAGGCTTGATGATATCATTGGCGGGCTCATGAACTTTGCTTCGGAGTTTCTTTTTGCATTGTTTTAGGTCAGTTAAGTATCTCATCATAATCATATAATCAGAGTATGCTTCGAGAGATTTATTGCCATTATAACAATTGTTTTCCCTTTTTCACCAAATTGGATCAATCATATCCTAGTGTAGGGTTAGTTGTGTCTTAAAGGTTTTCAATTTTTAAACGAGCTACGTCCATGTTGCTACATAATAACCTTCATTCTCACTCTTGTTGATGAGAAAAATCTACTCATGCAGATTTTTTAAATGAAACATTCTCGTAATTTATTCTTTGCATAAAATACTTTTTTATTTTAATTTTTTTTATTGTCAAGAAAATGTTCACTCACAATACTTCATGGATTATTTTCAGTATCAATTATTTATAAACATCTTACACTATAAATAAGATATTTTATGCATTAACACACACGCACACACACAAATACAAACATATTAAGTCAAGGCCACTGAGAACATAACGAAACTTTTTAATCAATATATAATACCTATACATATTCATGACATAATTATGATTTACAAAAAAAAAGTTCCAAATTGATTTATTTAATAACAGTACAGTTTTAAGATAGTATCGTAGAAGTTTCATACTTTAGTATTTGCTTTTAAAGGTTGAACCTAATTAGGAGATCCAGGGGATGAAATCTGCTTCATTTTTCTAAGTCTTTTCTATTGATTAATTTAGTTCTTTCGGTGATTTGGGTGGTTTTCTAGGCATTTATAATATTTTGGGACCCGTGGAGTGGATTTTTTTTGGTAAACATTGTCTATGTGAGATCGTACTGTGTTTTTTTTTTTGACGCAAACCATGGGAAATGACAAGCAATCATTACATATTTGATTGAAATCGTTGTATTACTTGCCCGTATACGTACGTATATACGGACTAATATATATGTACTAGAGGTAAAGTTATGAAATGCTCCGGAAAATATATTTCGAAATTTCAAAGAAAATACAAGTTTTGGGGTCCCCTGATACCGGAAACCATATTTTTCAAAACGTCCATCTGTCTATGAATCCGTCTGTGACCATCCGTCTGTCTATGAATACTATTAGCGCCTGAACCATGTATAAATTTTTTTCCAAATTGAATAAACCCCAGTCCATCTGGCTCGAATCGAATTTTTAAGATTATGAAAATCATTTTTAAGAATTTGGGGATACTTTACATGAAGTCCCCCGGACATTTTCAAACTTTCTAAAAAAACACTACAATTTTTTTCTTTAAATTTCTTGTAACAATAGAGTAACATACATACATAAGCGGGGCATATGTCCGATTTTCACGGTTAACTCTGAATTTTCGAAAATTTCAAAAGTAGGAATATTTTTCGGTGTCTACAAAATTAACAACTACAACTACAAAACTGAAGATATAGATTTTAACTTGGAATAAAATGTGATCTCCGTAGTGAGTTCAAGACGTACAGCCGAGAAATCATCAGTAAGCTTACGAACTTTATTTGAAAACCGTACGTTAGATTTATTTTGTATATATGAAGAACGTTAACCAGTTAATACATGAGTTCTAAAACATTATGTAAATTTGTTATAATAAACGTTAAATTTGATTTTTCAAGAGAGAAAAGGCTAATAATTCACAGAAATTGCCATCAAGTTAATAATGTGTTTGTTCTGCAGAACTTTCAGGAATCGTGATTCCGTAGGGAATTACACGTACACATGCAGTAGGCAAAACAATGTTGTATATCGAAACCCATGATTCAATTTAAAAGTGAAATTATTATAATAATATTTTAATATTGAAAGAATTTGTGAGAGTATCAGGGCTACGAAAGATAGGTTAAATTTAGAAAATCGGTGGAAAAATATAGTTTAGTTACAAATGGTCGCCCGTCGTAGCGAATAAATGAAAGTTGTAAGCTAAAGAAGTTATTTCACAATAAATGGATAATTTACTAAAAATCAAGTTTCGAAGCAAGTTTTAATTACACGAATCAGAACTGGTCATTCTAAAATTACACACAGGTACTTGCTGGAGAATACCTCACCACCACTATGTGATATGTGCCAAGTAATACTATCAATCGAACATATTATTATGTCCTGTCGTAAATATGATCACATTAGAACTATGTATTTTAATCCAAATGAAATGGAGAAAATCCTGTACTCTGTTCCCTTTCAGAGCCAGATTGTCAAATTTTGCAAAAACACAAATGTCATGCTTGAAATATAACGTTATGGTAAGCCCGCCCGTATCTCTTAGAGTTTATGTGTAATGATCCTACCCCGATGATATTGTATGATTGTGTTACAAGTATGTAAGATAACAATATGTTATAACTTATATGTTATTATGTTATATTATGTTAATGTAATGTTGTGTAACCCTCGAAAAGATGTTATGACCATGCCCTGATTGTTCTGTATGATGATGGTATGTAAGATAAGTAATATGTGATACTGTATTATGTTATGACCAATACATTCTGATACTTTTGTTTATGTAATGACAGATGAAGTCATAAGTGTCTGTAAGCACCTGTAATTACAAATGTTGTCGCTAATAACCTTAGTCGTTGATGCGACAAAAAAATAAACAGAAAAAAAAAGTTTCGAAGCAACACGAATGAAAAGAATGGTGGAACTCTCTCATCATATAATTTAAAATACTCCCCGATAAATCTTCACACTGACTGAGATGGTATTTCTTTCTATAATTATTAAGAGTAAATTAATAATAACCTGGAAAATATGGCTTCACTCACCTGGGTGTACTTTGCAAATTGTAGAATCAACTCAGTTCTATAAATAACATACGTGAATCATTTGGGTAATCATCGGTGTATAAAGTTTCGTTTTTGCTGCCAACTCACCTTTAAACATTGATTTCAATTTCGTAACTTCGTTTGTTTTTGAAAAAGTTAAAATAATATGAAATAGTAAATGAACAAATAATAAAAACAAATTTGTAGATATGGCACTTTTACCCACTTTTAGCTTGTTCTTTATCATTGTATATATACAAATAAAGTGTAAATATATGGTAAATATTATAAAAGTTTCCAATGCTTAGTGCTAAAGTTATCGAATAAAAAAGCAAACTTTGAACACATTGTAATAAGGTTACATTTTTTATAGTACATTATTTATTACTTCCATTTTTACATCAATTCCGACATTTGGACAACGTCGATTACTCTTTTCGAAAACAAAGTTTAACAAAAAATGCAGCCAATTTTGAGAAACAATCGTAAATATCCTTGAGACTTCAAGTGAAGATATCAAATTGGGTGAAAATCCAGGTTACAGTTTAGCCACTAGAGTTGAACACAGACGGACAACGAGAAAACAGGTGGACATGTTTTGACGTAAAACAATTTTTCGCAAGACGGACGGAATGACGTTTTGCCGTAAATCAATTTTTTGGTATTAGGGACCCATAAAACTGATTGTGATTATATAAAATATTAGAGGAAGTCATTTACCACACACACTAAACAATCTGTCAGAAGTTTTGTATCTCACGTTCTGTGTCAATGACCCCTTTCTCGATAAGGGTTTTCCTCCAATTTCCCTGATTCTTTGAACGATTGCTGAGATGATTTCTTGTTTTGCTGCAGGGTTTAAATGTAACTTCACTACCTGTGCACGTTTTCTAGAGTTCAACGGTAAATACAGTTATAAAAATTATTGTGCTCAATGTTCTCGCGGCAGTAAGTCAAACCCTTTAAGAAGGGCACTATGGGAGATAGTAGATTACATCTACAGCTTATTTTCTTTTACATGTGTTTTATTACACGGGAGCGAAAATTATCAATTCTCAGCCTAAACCGCTCATTTCCATCTCCGTTCAAAATGCAACTTCTATATGTGTTAGGGTAGGGATCCCATAATTTACGAAAACGCCATGAATCACACTTCTTCCAATAATATATCACATAGTTTTTAAGTCTTTAAGACGCAAGTAAATGAACATATAGGAAAAAGAACTATCCACGTTTTGGTTTCAAGGCCAGGGAGACGAAAAAGGACTCGAAAAACCATCGTTCTTGCTGTAGAATTACATACATTTATATATACTACGTATGTAGTAAGCAAAAAAATATACACACATGATTATTTGCGAATGAAAAGAAACAATTCGGTATAATATCCCAGGTAAGTACTGAACCTTAATATGTCATGTAGATGAACTAATAGTACGATTAAAGTGCACATATTGGTACTTGCAGCGTTGTCCTCTCGCAAGTGAGAGTGAATTGTGGGATTTTCTTAGAACACTTGAAGATGTGGAACATTATATTCGAGAACCTTTTTTTAACCTTTAATCTTTTCATATTTAATCAACACACGCAAGTTATTTACTTTCCCAAAGGTGAAGAGCAGTTTTTGAAAGACAATGCAAAATGTTAGGAGCATCAATGTGTGATAAGAAATGCATGACTAACGCTTTCTAAGGTTATCTTCTCCCTCGAATTCTATGGACCTTAAACCCAATGAGCTTTTGGGAAACCACCTCTATTGTTATATTCAGTAGATGCGGAAGTTTTGGGAAATACAGTTATACTCCAGATACCAAATTCACATCTACATATCCATCTAGAAAAATAGTGTGTAGCTGTAATGACCCCCCTTCAAGAACTGTTTTAAGTTTAACACGTCCAGTGATCATTACTTATTAAGTGACAGAATGATTGTGAAGGACTGAAGTATAAAGTATTCTTTATAATTAACTATTTATTTATAACAAATTATACAACAGAAGTATCTCTCACTTTATGGTTGAAAACACTCCTAAAAAGAGGAAGAGGATACTCCTATTATCGTAAGTGATTGGCTTAGGTTCAGATCTTCACGTGTTTTCACTGCAGTGCCACTGTCCAGTAGGTTCTAGGTTCGAGTCCCTACTAAGACAGGATTTTCAAAATTAGCTAGATCGAATTCAGCCGCTGTCTGGAACAGAATTTCAGCGGCCGGCTACTCTGCTCGGCAGTTTCCGGGGTGTCTCAGATCAATTGTAGGTGAATGCTGGAGCATGATATTTCCTACCATATTCTTGTTCTATCGCCACTCCTTACTTACACATACTTACAATTACATACACTTCATTACCACATACATTGGGAGATCAGTCGGGAACTTACGAGTTCCTCCCAGTTGGGGTTGTGTCCCACTGGTGGAAGGTATGTGAATGGGGACAACCTCGCGTGTCGACGTGGAAGTCAACGCCATATCTCACAAACCAGCGGGAGAAGAAAACTGCCAGCGTCCGTGACAAAAAAATTCTATATACTTACGAAACTAATGACCATAGCAGTTCACGAAATAATCGAACATTATCTTATGTGAAAGAAGTACTGACGTTTGAAAATAAACACGTACTGGTAACAGCCATTGAATAGGCTATGATTTTACGGTAGGAGCAATCCGAATGTATTGCCCCGGAAGCCTGAAAGCAGTTGGTTGGTAATATTGTAGAATGAATTGAGATACAGGCAGAACTAGTGAGCAAAGAAACACGAACAGAAATATATGTAATTAGTAAAATGTATCATTTAATTTATACATCAACATACAATTATGGATAAAAATCAAATATGCATATTTACATCAATAAAAAATAAACATATAATATTCAATAAAAAATAAAGATATTTAGAATATATAACCACTCGTATTTGCGTTATATACTGGCAAGGCATTTTTGATAATATGAAACGCAAAATACGCTCTCCCATCTAAAATTAAGGGTAGATGATTTAAACGTCTCCTCAGCCCATATATTCAAGTGTAGTAATTACTAGAAAATTAATAAATTAGCAATTAATAATGAACCTTTAATTTTTTCGGCAGGCTATTCATAGTTATACATGAACATGATTTTCAATTAATGCGTTTAGTTAGTGCTAAGATCGTGTCAAGAAATCACTTATTTACTCGCCACGCCGTGTTAGCAACGAATCACATCGGTTCGAAGTGCTCAGTGATTGTGTTCACTGTTTTTCACACGAGCACCAAACTTCCTGAAAACCATCTAATAACAATATCACATTCTTGTTTACATTCTGTGTTTATTTTCTTTTAAGCTTTTTTTCTCACATTTTTTCGCCCATAAATACTGCGCATTCTTGTTTACATTCTGTGTTTATTTTCTTTTAACCTTTTTTTCTCACAGTTTTTCGCCCATAAATACTGCGCATTCTTGTTTACATACTGTATTTTCTTTTAAGCTTTTTTTCTCACAGTTTTTCGCCCATAAATACTGCGCATTCTTGTTTACATACTGTGTTTATTTTCTTTTAAGCTTTTTTTTCTCACAGTTTGTCGCCCATAAATACTGCGCATTCTTGTTTACATACTGTGTTTATTTTCTTTTAAGCTTTTTTTCTCACAGTTTTTCGCCCATAAATACTGCGCGTTCTTGTTTACATACTGTGTTTATTTTCTTTTAAGCATTTTTTTCTCACGGTTTTTCGCCCATAATTACTGCGCAAGTGAAGGTACGGAACGCGGTGCTCTCCTTGTGTCGTGGCGAACGCTAAGCCGCCCCCACCGGGAGGCCAGTCGAAGCACTCCCAACGCAATCCTGCTAATGCACGCCCGCGCCGCCCACATGCCCAGGGGCGACGCGCCAGGCGCCTGGGCGACGCGCCCTGCGGGGCGATCGCGTTGCCTACGCACCGAAACGGCGGATTCACGGGCGGGTTTTAACGCAGACACGAGGACCTCTACCTCTCTCATCTCTCCCCCCCCCCTCACCGGTCTGTCTGTTCCTTTATTACACAGGGATAATGTACTATACTTGGGGTATATCATTTTTTTATTGTCTTACTTGGAAATTTATTTCCCTTTTTGTGTCAGTTATAAAAAATGCGATGTGTTAATAATGTTTCTACAGTTATAAGGAATGCTATAAAAAGTATAAAGAATGATATGTTTTATATTTTTGTAGATTACATACCAATTATTACTTGATACAATTTAAAAAAGGGGGTCTCCGTGGCGAGGCAACGGCGGATTCACGGGCGGGTTTTAACACAGGCACCAAGATCTCTACCTCTCTTTATCTCTCCCCCCTCACCGGTCTGTCTCCTCTTTTATTACACAGGGATAATGTACTATATTAGGAGTGTATTATTTTTATTATGTCTTACTTGGTGTTTTATTTGGAAATTTATTTTCCTTTTTGTATTTGGTATAAAAAGTGCAATGTGTTAAAAAAGTTCCTACGGATTCCTAAGTTATAAGGAATGCTATAAAAAGTACAGTGATTTATATTTGTGTAGATTACATACCAATTATTGTTTGATGGATTTTAAAATGAGTTTTAATACATTCCTTTTTTAGTTTAGTAGTACAAATCCTTTCCGCCCAATGGTAGAACCCTCCCACTTAGATAATGCACTGACACCCTCTCACAATATGGCCCATTCTAATGATCTCCAACACCTTCAGTTGTTCTGCGAGTGGGCGAATGTCAGACAAGAGCCCGTTCTAGTCAATATAGCCATCGCAGAAAGAGAAACAGAGGTGGAAGAATCAGGCTCTTCCTGTTCATCTAGGATGAACAGGAAGAGAGGGGCAAGAAAGAGAGACGCGCAAGAGAGAGGAAGGTTGGAGAAAGAGAGAAAGAGAGAGAGAGAAAGATAGAGAGAGAGAGAAAGAGAGAGAGAGAGAGAGAGAGAGAGAGAGAGAGAGAGAGAGAGGAGAGACATTATAGATCTGTCCAAGGATTTAAGTCTATAATGATGTCTCTGAGCGTTCTTGAGGAGCGACTTTACTCATTTATGCAAACTCTAGTTGACTAACGAAGTCGTGTTTGTCTCCCAGACAGTGTTAACTCCCCCGAACATAAATAAAGGGCCAGATAAATTTTCATTTTTCTTCGTCGCGCTTCTATCACCTATCCGCCAAGCGCAACATTGTGTTGACCGCGAAGCTAATATTTTATCTGTCATTTTTGCGTTTTCCTAAAATCATTTGCAGACGGAGTAGTACCTGAAAAAAACCACTACCTACCATGCGTAATATCGCCTTCCCCATCATATTCCAACTCCCTCCATGAGGATTAGGCGATGTACAAACGTGTATTAGGTTTATGGTTCACTACGATGATTGAGAAAAGACTCCACCAGTACGGACAGATGATAAAATTTAACTAGGGCTGAACAGCCACCAAGGGAAAGTAATGTTACAGAACTCTTTGGAAATATAATGCTATGGGTATGTTACACCCCAGATTCGAGGGCAGCTAACTCATTCATTCACGCAACTTCTAGTGGAGTGCTCGTCTTCCAGCCCGCAATAAGTTCTCCGAACATACACACGCCGTCGAGCAAGTTCTCTTTATTCCAAGTGATTCTCTTTACCCTCTAACCCCTAAATCCAGAGCAGCGCGTTGTGTCAGTTCAGATGTTAGTATTGTCTATACTTGCTTCCGTGGTTTTCTCTAATCAATGTTCGCGATGGTCAGTTTCTTTAAAACGGGTCTTGAAGCAAGTGCAATGCCTACTTCCCTACTTCATCCCCAATTCCATTCTTCGGGTCGGGCAGTGAACTGATCGTCCATCTTATGTTCTGGAAAAGACTCCAGTAAAACTACGAGTAGACCGAACTGAACTGGAGCGCATACGGAGTGGGAGATTGAGATAATCTTTCAGAAAAGTTAAGAAATTCAGCCTACGATTATGTAAACTCCCCCGGTTTCCAAGCAGCGAATTCATTCATTTATGCGATCTCCAGTTGACAAATGAGGACGTGCCCGTCTCCCGGCTCGCGCTAATTCCCCCGAACACAAACAAAGCGCCGACCAAGTTCCCCCTGAGATTGCCCCGCTCCGCCCCGCTCCGCCCCGCTCCGCCCCGCTCCGCCCCGCTCCGCCCCGCCCCGCCGCGCAGCCCCGACCTCCGGGGCGGCGGCCTGTGTTGACCCAGTAGTTAATCTTTTGTCTAATCGCTTCCTCGAGAGCGCCGGCGCCGTGATGCGCCCTAAGCCCCCGAATTTCGTCGGGCGGAAGTCGTTACGCCGCCTCGGGCGCTTCCGTATTCGCCGCGCGCGCGCCCTGGCGGACGCCGCTCGCTTTAATCGCCGCTATTTCGCGGAGCAGATGCCGTTTCCGGATGCGTACAGTTGGTTCGGCGGCGGGCTGCCGGTGGGCGACGAACAGGTGGCGCCCCTTCCCTCCGACTTGTTTTATTGAAATACTAGTTGTGCTGAAACAGTACGTAATATTTCGCCTGTACTCGCCGGTACCAGACAACTTTCTTCGCAAAATTACTCACTTCACGGAAAATTACGTGAAAAGTACTCAAATTTTCAAGCAATTGTACCTAACCTAATTTCAAAATTTATCTTTAAGAAACGGATTAAGGAAAAAGCCTCAATTTTTTATATTTTAGTTGTAGGAAGACCCAGAAAAAAATTGAACGGTTGTAATTTTTGAGAAATAAGGGTTTTCAACGATTATGAAACCTGCACCGTTTTGTTAAACGTTCTGCGCACTATTCAACAAAAGAGTTAAGAAAAAAAGGGAAAGCCATTTTTTTGAAAAAAAAAAAGAAGAATGTAAAGTACCCTCCAAAATTAATATATCGGTTTCAAATTCAAGTGGCTGCGACATCAGCCAGATCAATAGGGGAATATCGATTTTGGAGAAAGTCTGCTGGATGATTTAGCCGCTGTCGTTGTTCACAGACCGACAGACAGACGTGTTGCCGTCATTCGATTTTTCACTATCGAGGACCCACAAAACATGAATTCTAGCCCCCACGTGTTATAGGACTTTTTGTCTAAATTTAAAAATTGGATTTTTCCACATTTTCGTTACCAGGGCCCTGTGATAAGAGTTTTCCGCTGTTTTTCACGCAGCATTACACAACGTTCTCCCTAGTTCGTAGCCAGAAAGTAATAAATTAGAAACGACCCGTTTAAACATATTGTTTATTTGCAAAAACAATAAATTTCCTACGTTAAAAAGCTCGCCAAGGGGAACAATCTATGAGGAAATGGAACTTGGAGACAGTTTAATATTATATTTGTATTCCACTGTGAATTAATCAAAATATTTTCTTTTTAATGCACATTTCAAAGTTGCTGGACGTAGTGTGGGGAAGAACTTTAAAGATTCGATACCCATACCAGTATCGATCTCTTCGAGTGGCAGATTCTGACTCAGTTGGTGTCATGTGGAATCGGTGCGTTCGACGTGGACGTGAATTTCGTCTCTGAAGTTTGTGTATGCCTCAAATGCATTACAGCTCTGTGGGTTTAATAAAGTGAAATTTCCCCTATGATCTCCTGAGTTGAACCGATTGGGTAAAATGCAAATCGTCTCCCTACTAACAGTAACGTTAGTAAAAACCCTGCTGTGTCCTCATTTCGACTACGGAGATAGTGTGTATAACAATTTGAAAGATTCACTCGTTCAAACTCTGCAGAGAGCTCAAAATGACTATATTCGCGCCATTTATAATATAAAAAATGCGATCACAAATCCGGTATTTATAAAGAACACAAAATATGAACATTAAAGGTTAGGCATTTGTATCACAGTCTTTGTCTTTTATTTAAGATGCTAAAACTGGGTTCCCCGTCATATTTAACAAATTATTTCGTACATCTTAAATCCTCTAGATTTCACAAATCCCAGTTACTCTGTATTTCAAAATGCAAAACCAACTACTACAATAATTCGTTCGCAATTACAGTAGCCCGGTAGTGGAATAAATTGCATTTCAATATTAAAAACTGCTCATCATTACCATCTTTTAAGAAGCATCTGAATGGTTTTCTTACAAAGTAGGATACATCATTTTACTATTTAAATCAATGTAGAGTACCGATCAAATCAAACCTATTCCTTAGGAGTGTTAATAACTGATTAATATGTTATAAAAATAGCATTAATGTATTTTTCTGGAAAATTTTACTTTCTTGTGACTTGTTAGATACCGACGGAAATGTATTTTCTTCTGTAGGAGCAGAGGCTGATTTAATCAAGAAAACAATCCTGTGCAGCACGGACAGCAGCTCCGAAAACTATCCCCAAAATCCGTTACTTGGCGATGAAAAAGTGCGCAAATTATAAAACTCACCTTAGATGAAATATTGAGAGACATTGAGTTAGCAGCCTGGCAATCCTTTAAGAGAGCTGTGCATAAAAAAAGAAGAATTATAAAACATTGGTCACAGAGTGGTTTGAATGCTTCAATAATTTGAGACATGGAATGTCTGTGAAAATTATTTTCTTCGCTCCCGTCTTAATTTTTCCCGCAGAATTTGGGTGATATTAGAGGTTACTGATGTATAGTTTCGTCAAGGTATTGCTACAATGGAGAAAAGATACCCAGAGCGTAAGGATCCTGCAACGATGGGAGATTATAGCTGGTTTATTGTCAGAGAGTGTAATCATAAATTCAAGATTAACTGACAAGGCGCAAAGCAATTTTAAGCAATGCAATAGGAATTTATCCGTAAAAGGTGTGCCAATATTATTGTACGAATATGCGTATTACATTGCTAACTTGTTCTTACCTCGTATGATGGATTCTATAAACTTGTAGATATATAACCGGAGTGACAATGCGGAAATAAGTACAAGATTTTGTTTATTTTAAATATTAAATACGTTCATATATTTTAAACCCTCCGTGATATAAACTTTTTAATAAAGATTTTCGAAATCAGCGTAATCATTTCCTTTGAAATTACCCACTTTCATTCTGGAAATATAAAACAAATTGTTCCCTAGTGTTTTCAGTAATTTTGTTAAGTGCAATTTGCTGGTGTATCGTAGCATATTATTGCTATTATTTTATATTTTTCACACATATTTTTGCTGGTTCATCTTCCCCAGAGTTGTTTTTGGAATAGGTTCGATCGTAGAAAAAGAAGTTCATCTCCTATCTGGAC